TTAGTTTTAATAGAGTGTGTGTTTCCATTTTTAATGAATTGTGAACTGCCTAGAGTCACATGAGTAGGATGAACAGCCATGTACATTATTTAAATAGATTAAAAATAATAAATTATTTAGCAATAAATAAATGGGTGGGAATAGCGTCCATTTCAACTGGTTTTTTTTTTTTACAAAAAAATCAAATAATGGACACCAATTTTGAATCACCATGCAGTTAAAATTTGGTAACAAGGTCTTAGCCAGGCTACAAATGAGGGCCTGAGGGAGCCTTCCTGATCTGGACTATATATTCTTTTCAGCCAACATCACATAGTTTGCTGGAATCTAGCATTGTTGATGCTGGAAAGGTGTTGGCAGTTGTTATGCCAATAGCTGCCCACCGATGTATTTTAAGAGGATTATGACCTTGTGATACTTAACATGGTGTTGACCTTCAAAATGATTTGCCATTTTGTTATTATTTCGTACTGAATAGAATAGTTGCCTAACGTCTAAAATGATTTATCGTTTTCAAGAAGTAACTGAGACCAATCTAGATATTATGTTACAGATAGTCCTTGACTTACAACCACAATTGACCCCAAAAGTTCTGTTGATAAATGGGACATTTGTTGAATGAGTTTTGCCCTATTTTACAATCTTTCCTGTCACCTTGTTAAATGAATCACTGCAGTTGTTAAATTATTACTGTAGTTCTTGACATGGTTGTTAAGTGAATCTGGCTTCCCCATTGACTTTGCTTGTCAGAAGGTCACAAAAAGTGATCACATAATCCCAGGACACAGCAACCTTCATAACTATGAACCAGTTACCAAGCACTGAAGTTTGATCATGTGCCCATGGGGATGCTGCAATGGTCAGAAATGTAAAAATGGTCATAAGTCACTTTCTTCAGTGCTGTTATAACTTTGAAAGGTCACTAAATGAACTATTGTAAATTGAGGACTACCTGTTGTTGCATGTGTACATTTAAACCAGCATGGTTAAATGGGAATACTGGGAAAAAAGCAGGCATGGGGTCTGCTCATAAGATCCTCTAGGACAGGTTCCTTGCATCAGTTCTTCATTGTAAATAATTGCCTCTTGTGATTTCTGCTGTGAAAATGCTAGTCCTTGGGCACAAATAACTATCATATAAACAACTCCAAATCAAGAACTTGTGGATTGTATGATATTCTTTACATCTATACTAAAAGTTATCAATGCTCAAAATTTGCTGCAAGATGAATGTACTCAGTGTCTCAGTGATCAGCAAATATAGGAAAACAAAGTGATTGTTCTCTGTTGTTGATTCAGAAACATAAGGAAAGCCTCTCAGCTCTAGGAATTAAGAGTATTGGGCAAAAATCCAAGCTCTATCTTGCCTTTCCATGGAGTCCAGCCTCAATGAAATAAAGCATGTTCTTCTAAGATGGATGGCAACTTGTCAAGCGTAAGGTAAAGGATCTGAAAAATTAATTTTCCTTTTAGCCGCTGAGATCAGATTGCAGCCATATAGCTTGAAAAATACTTTTTCCACTGAAAACTGATATTTTCAGAATATTGTATAAGTGACTTAAATGCTTGGAGTTCACTCACAAACAGGATTCTAAATAAATTGATTGCGTTGCTTGTATTTCTGGAACAGCTGTTGACTTACTGCATTAACAGATGGATAGAATTATGATCATGTGAAATGTTAATACCACTTTACAATGCCTTGGTAAGGCCACACTTGGAATATTGCATCCAGTTTTGGTCACCACGATGTAAAAAAGATGTTGAGACTCTAGAAAGAGTACAGAGAAGACCAACAAAGATGATTAGGAGACTGAAGGCTAAAAAATATGAGGAATGGTTGCTAGGATTGGGTATGTCTAGTTTAATGAAGAGAAGGACAAGGGGGGACATGATAGCTGTGTTCCAATATCTCAGGGACTGCCACATAGAAGAGGGAGTCAAGCTATTCTCCAAAGCACCTGAAGGCAGGACAAGAAGCAACATATAGAAACTAACCAAAGAGAGAAGCAACCTAGAACTAAGAAAAATTTACTGAAAGTTGTAACAATTAATCAGTGGAACAACCTGCCTCCAGAAGCTGTGAATGCTGTGAATACTTATCCCATAGATTTCCAGTGGGTCTACCGAAGCTTCTTCTAAAGTTGAAATACATAGTAGGCTACATTGCAGCGTGTGAATGTCATCAATAATTGCTAGCTTGTGGGCTGGCCAGTGACCATTGCTTTGGTTAACAATTCTGTTTGTGCCCAGGAAAAATGTTCTGCTAGATTTGGCAAACTACAGAATGGCAATGTATAAAGCACATAATAGCTGACACCAGACAGCTTCTAGCTTCCTTGTCCCTTTGACTCATGCATCATAGGAATATATATAATATAATCATTTGTCTTGACCCCAAGATAGATATCTCGCATGAATCTACCCCCTAGTCTGCAGAGTAAACTAGCTCAGACACCAACTTTCTCCTTACCCAGGCTGAGATGCTTGAGAATGAATAATAAAGGGTGGAGGTTGACATCGATATTTTTCCACACTGCAACTGCAAGGAGTGGTTTTAAATGCCACAAGGGCCTCCCCTTACCTCCTCAGGCACCATCAAGTATCTTTTTCTGGTTGGGAAAGAAATGTCAGTGGGCAACAGGACTAGTTGACTTGAAGTATGGAGGTGATGTTTTAGCAGCAGCAGCACTGATTTCTCAAGAGAATGGCTTGTGGAGTCACATTAACCCAGGCTTGTCTGATTGATAGCGCCTGGTCTGTCCAGCAGCTTCAAACTAGAGTTTTCATCAGCTCAAGGTAACAGGGTGAATATGATGGGAACTATAGTTTAAAGTATGTGGATAAAATATCAGGTTGGAGGAAAGTGCAATAAAGAATCACAAACTTGAGACTACCCATTTGAAGAGAAATAACTTTCAGTAGAGGAGAGATATGCAAAGTCCATTTCTGCTCATTAAGTATAAGAAATGTGTGTGAGAGATGATGTCTGTTGCAAAGGTCAGCTTGCTGGCGAATCTTATATTTGCAATTTGGTTGATGCCCAGTGTGATTCTTTTGTAATTAGATAAAAAGATAAAGACACTGTTGAATGGAGTTTGACTGTTAATGACTTCATGGACCCATTTACATGGTTTTCTGGCAACAATATGGAAAAGGATTGTCATTGTTTCCATCCAGGATGCTAATTTCATAGTCTAGTCTAGCCTGTAGTCCTGGAATTGCTGGTAGATTCTCATCCACATCTTTCCAAATCCAACTGTGCTTAGGTATTTCAGAATAGTTTAGGTTGTATGCTACCATCTACCATGATCTAGGGAAATTTATATCAAGGGCATTCACTTTTCCAGAAAAGCTTAAAGCAAGCTTATGTAAAATTATTTAAAGAGAAATATATTTACTCATTTCCTTGAAAGATTTTTAAACAGGAGCTTCAGCTCTCATCTAATGATCCCACACCACTATTAGTTGTTATACTATTCCTCCAAAATGGCTGGTAGGAAAAATGTGGTCTCAGAAAACCACTGAGGGGACATGGTTGTTCTTCTTTGCCATAGATATGATCCTCGATTAAAATCACTATTTCTCAACAGTGGCACCAAGTGAGAAAAGGCATCAAAGTAGATACTAGCGTCAACCGTTTGTTCAGGCTAGAGCTTGTGCTTTCTGATTGTTCCTAAAAGTGCAGTAAACCTGATAAATCTGTGGCTGAATGATTAACTCATTTACATACATACATCTCTATACATGTAATCCTTGGCTTGGGACTGGGTTTCAGTTGCTAAATGATGTAGTTTTTGAGGACAGGTCATAAATCACTATTTGCAAGACTGTTGTAACTCTGATCCTTAAATGAATAGTTTTAACTCAAAGACTATCTGGTACTGCTTCATCTAGTGATGTAGGACAAGGCTCTTCCTATCTTGCTCATAGTCTGAATAGCCTAAAAAAGGGAGAGAATGATAGGGGTCAGTGATGAGTTGTTAATGAAGCAACTTTTGGACTTTTTGCAAAAAAGTAAGAGAAGTGTAATTTTGTTTTTGGGATCTAATGATTAGAATTATATAGGAGTATAGAAGTTATGTATATTAATTTTAGAATAAGAGTTGTTTGTATTTTTTACATCTGTATCAAATAAAGTTGAAGCTATTTGTTCTTTTTTCTTAACTTTTTTCCTTCATTTTTTTGTACTTTTATCTTGCTTTTTGTCTGATTCTTTTTTCTATTTTCTTTTTGTCTTGCTCATTTATTTTTTATTCATGTTTTTGAAAGTTAATAAAATTATATAAGAAAAAATTATATTCAGTATAATAGTGTAGAAAATATACAGAGCTATTCCATAAGTTATTCTTCTGGCCCACTACTGTTTATTTTAACTCACTTATTCTAATAGCCAATCTTTGAAAAGCAGCTTGAAGATAACCTGTGATCTTCTTTGCTGATAAGAAGTACCGCTAAGCCTTCAAGTTACTAATGTTCCCATGCATTGAAATGATTGTGTAAAATGGGTGCCAAAAGACAGGGCAAGACTGAAGTCTCTGCCAGTAGCAAAATAACCAATGTTAAGAAATCAGACAGATCTAGACTGATTCTGAATTAGTATGAAATTCTCAGGCAGAAATGCGCTGTGTATCTGAAGCGTCACAGGATGAATAGATGAAGATTTTCACTTGCCTTCCATTTGAAAACATCAGAAGTGTATGGCAGGTGTGCCCATTATCATATGGACTTCGTTAGATTTGTTTGTTAAGTTGTCCAGCTTTTTCAATAAAACAAGGTCCAGCCTACATTATGTCCTTTTTTCTCCAGGTTGCTCAAATTATTGGCTTAATTTTATAACTTCCAAGGCCAATAATGTAATCACTGTGCTCCAGTATTCACATTTTAAATATACCTTTGTATCTGCTATTTAATTCATTCCACAGCTAGTGTATGCTTTAATGTGGCACACACTTTTACTATACAATAGGTAATATTTGCATTGTTCTTTTTTTCCTCAGGACTTCTGGTAGGAACTCTTGATGTTATGTTAGATTCAAGTGCAAGGGTAGCACCATATCGCATTCTGTATCAAGCACCAGATTCTATGATATACTGGACTATTGCTTGTGGTAAGTATGTGAACTGTTTTCAAGGTATTGCTTTTTTGACCCAAAGACTAGTATTTGACATAACTTACACATTTACAATGTATCAGTTTTCCTGTATACTGGATACTTACTGAACACTAAGAAAATGAAATTCCATGGAGAGAAAAGTAAGGTTCTACATTTACCAAGAAAAACCAAATCCACAGGTACCATAGGTGGTATCTGGCTCAATAATAGTAACTGTGAGAGGGATCTTGGAGTCTTAATGGACAATCACTTAACTATGAGCCAGCAGTGTGCTTCAGCTACCAAAAAAGCCAGCACAGCCCTAGGCTACATTAACAAAGGGACAGACTCAAGAGCACGTGAAGTGTTAGTACCACTCTATAATGCCTTGGTACTATTCCATCCAGTTTTGGTTGCCATGATCTAAAAAAGATGTTGAGACTCTAGTAAGAGTGCAGAGAAGAGCAACAAAGATGATTAGGGAACTGGAGGGTAAAATATTTAAGAATAGTTGTAGGAATTGGCTATATCTAGTTTAAGAAGGATTAGAGGGGACATGATAGCAGTGCTCCAATATCTAAGGGGCTACCACAAAGAAAAGGGAGGAAATCCATTCTCCAAAACAACTGAAGGCAGGACAAGAAGCAAACGATGGAAACTAATCAAGGAGAGAACCAACTTAGAACTAAGGAGAAATTTTCTCACAGTGACAACAATTAATCAGTGGAATGGCTTGCCTCCACAAGTTGTAGGTGCTCCAACACTGGAAATTTTAAAGAAGAGATTGGACAATCATTTGTCTGAAATGGTATAGGTTTTCCTGATTGAGCTATAAGTTGAACCTCCAAGTTCCCTTCAAACTATGTTATCCTGTTATGTGGTTCCTTCTAGATGTTTATGCTTTGGTTTCCATAAGAGTTAGGCAACTCTCACAGTAAATGTAAATTATGTTTCACTTTCTGTTTACTTTTTTTTAAAAAATCAGTTTTCCACCAAGTTCTGCAAGTAGTTGCTAAGATTAAATGCTGACTTACATTTCTGTTTGAGGTGCTGCTATAGTTGAAGTGTTTCTCTGGGTTCTCTGTGGAGCCCTAATAATTCTGGATTCTGGCCTTTTTTTCTGTAGAGTTGAAACTCCTTGAATGAAAATATATATTTATTCTTTATAAAATATGGTACACCACATCAGCAGGAGTTCTCATGCTTATTTTGCTGAATGAGAAGTCCTTTATGATTGGCTTGCCTTGTTCTTGGACAGCAAATAGTGGACATAGTTGTGAGGTACTAGACTAGGATTAGAAAGACTGAAGTTCAGCTGTATTTTCATCTGTGGAAATTCAATAAGTGTTATTGTGGGGCTAAATGAAGGGAGACTTCTGTGAAAAGTGCCAAGCTAGAACTGAATAAAGGTGGACTGTACATTGAATATGATAAGAAGCATACTGAGCATTGAATGGAGATGGGGAATGGGTTTGGGAAGCATTGTCTGTAAATCTTAGTTTTCTGTATTGGAAGCTGAAATTCTAAAATGTCAGATTCATTTCAATGGACTGGATATGGAATTTTTGAGTGCTTCCACTCAGGATTTTGGTAAGTTCTTGTTTTAATGTTTAATTACTACTGTGAATCTATTCACACCTACCTAGGTATTGCTGATATGCTATAGGTTATAAGTAGAAGATTCCATGTTTAAGTACAATTTGGGAGAAGTTTATTGCATGCAGACGGGGCATTCAGTGGTTCTGTCCTTTACCCAGATTTCAGTTTATATATATATTCCTCAGATAATTTATGTTGTGGCAAGAAATTTATGACTTACTAAACTATAGGTATTTCTCATTTTAAAAAAATGCAGGTCTGAAGGTAGAATTATTTTGAATCTTTGAGTGTGCAAATATATAGAAATTAGAGAAAGACTAACTCAGATTTCAGAACAACCACCAGCATTTAACAATATATTTTCGTACATTAATTTCAAGCATAGTCCAATGCACTTAGCAGATAAGAGGTTCTGCTGCCCTGGTTCAATTATGCGGGCTTTTCAGAGTGATGCATGGTCCAAGAAATGCAAGGCCTCCCTGGAAGGGAGACAGAATGATGTCATTCCTCATCAGCAGACCAGGATCAGATATAAGCTATTGCTTGCAGTTCTTCAGAAACAATATCATTCTGTAAGCTCTGTAGGAGGTTAGGAAACAGCTTATTTCCATATTGAACTCACCAGTGCCTTTCTGACAGAATTCAAACAGGAGTTTCAATGATTTATAGAATATGTATTGTAGCATTCATATTCATTTGAAAATACTGTTATTGATTGTGAGCACAATTCAACCATGAAAAGACAAACTCATCACACTATTCTCTTTCTGAGTAAGCATCATTAGGAAGAATAGAGAAAAGGAGTAAACAATAGTAAGCCAAAAAATGGAAGCCATGAAATAAGAAAAATAGAATAGAATAACAGAGTTGGAAGGGATCTTAGTGGTCTTCTAGTTCAACCCCCTGCTCAAACCAGAGATCCTATACCACAGGTCGGCAACCTGTGGCTCTGGAGCCACATGTGGCTCTTTCAGCCTTCTACTGCGGCTCCCAGTCCTCCTCTGCCATTTGCAGAGACAGAGAGAGGCACTTGTGCTTCCCTTCTCTCTCCCCCCCCCCCTCTCTCTCTCTCTCTCTCACACACACACACACACATACACACACTTTTACTTACTTAGTGGGGGAAGAGGACTGGCAGACCAAGGGCAGGAGAGAGCCAGCCCAATAAGAATCTGTGTCAGCTTGTTGGAGAACAGTGTGAGGCCAGCTGGCCAGGTGAGCAGAAGATCAGAGAGAGGAAGAGTGGGGGGGAGAGGAAAGAGAGAGGAGAGAGGGAGAGAGACAGAGAGAGGGAGAGGAGAGAGAGAAAGAGAGAGAGGGACAGGAAAGAGAGAGGGAGAAAAAGAGAGAAAGAGAGAGGGGAGAGAGAAAAAACGAAAGAAAGAAAGGGAGAGGGAGAGAAAGAGGAAAGGGAAAGGAAAGAGAGAGAGAAAGAGGGAGAGAAAGAGGGAAAGAGAGGGAGAGAGAGGGAGAGAGAGAAGAAAGAGAGAGAAAGAGGGAGGGAGGGATGGAGGGAGGGAGGGAGAGAGAGAGAGAGAGAGAGAATATGAATATATGTTGTCCTTACTGGACTTTTAGTAAAGAATGTTTAATGAAATATTTTGATTTTTTTTAAATTAAGAGATGAGGTATGGGAATAATTATGCTGTATTTAAAGATGGTAGATAAGCTATTAAAATTGTTTTCACCTGTTGGGATGAAGGAGAAAATTTGTTTTCTTTGTAGCAGTTCATTGATTTCATAAATGCAACACATTATAGTTTTTTTATACATAGCATAAAGATAAAAAAAGGATATATGCAGTGTTATCTTCATTTTAGATGTCAAAAGGCTTTTGTGGCTCCCAATGTTTCTTTTCTGTGAGAAACAGGCCCAAGTGGCTCTTTGAGTATTTAAGGTTGCCAACCCTTGCCCTATAACATTCCAGAAAAGTGGCTGTCTATTCTCTTCTTAAATGCCTCAAGTGATTGAGTACCCACAACTTCTGAAGACAAGCCATTCCACTGGTTAATTGTTCCGTCAGGAAATTTCTCCCTAATTTTAGTTTGGATCGCTCCTTGATTAGTTTCCTTCCATTGTTTCTTGTCCTGCATTCTCTTGCTTTGGAAAATAGCTTGACACACACCCCCTCTTCTTTGTGGCAGCCCCTCAAATATTGGAACACTGCTATCATGTCACCCCAGTACTTCTTTTCACTAGACTAGACATATCCAATTCCTGCAACTGTTCTTCATATGTTTTAGTCTCCAGCCCTCTAATCATCTTTGTTGCTCTTCTCTGTATTCTTTCCAGAGTGTTGACATCTTTTTTATAATATGGTGAGCAGAATCTATAGTTTATGCCACCATCAGTCTCTATCTCTCTATATATCTTTCTGTCCTTATAAACAATACTTTTGTTATGGTTCCGGCTAATGAAACACTTCAAAGAACTTCCATGCATTGATTTTTGTAAAAGTCTTTTATTGATTCAAAATGTCAGTGCAGGCATAACGAAGTCTATGCTAAGATCTAAGTTCTCTTTCTCTGAACAGTTAAATTATCAGCATGTTCCCTCCCTAAATTAGCGGTCACATATCACATTATCCAATTAGTGTGAAGGTCAAAGGTTTCCTTCCTCTTTCTTTCCCGGGCTTTACCCCCACCCTCTTCTGCTCTGTATTAACCCCAAAAATACCAGACAGTTCTGCATATTGTCAAAGCAAGAATATACAGTATTTGCAGCATTGACATCTTTCTCCAATTAGCATATCACTGCCATCATCACAAGAAAGCCTTTTACATTTATAAATAAATACTTGAAGTATAGATGGGGATATCACACACCTTTGCTTACATCATGTTCATTGCTGAACCATGCAGTGAGCATTCCATTGCTGCATATGTATGCTTTCCTTCCATCATTAGAGTTCTTGTCTATTTTACTAACCAACCAATATAAAACCAACCGTTTTATATTTTTGCAAAACCTCCTTTATCTAGCATATTCACCTTGTTGTATTCTTTCTTTCATCCATAAACATAAAATAAACTTTATCATATTTATATATTCCTCAGTGATCTAGGAAGACCGAAACTCTCTGCATTCAGCAATTAGTTAAGTCATGAGGACTCAAAAGTGACAAACCTCCTTCTTTAGTGAAAAAGCTATTCCATTTAGGATGTAAATGGAAACAGAGAGCCAGTTGTTTCTGGAGAAACAGCATCTGTGTCTTCTTATGATTCAACTTCAGTCCCATGCAGGCCTCTACCGCCTTCAGACATGACTCACAAGTTCTATCCATCTCCATTCCTGCCTAGGGTGCATATTATACAGCTGGCTATCATCCACAAGTTGATGATACTGGATGGCATCTCCAGGTATTTCATGTAGATGCTAAAATGTAGGAATGATAAAAATGAATCCTTCAGATCCTTACAACATCTACTGAGCTGATTACCTTCAATCATACCTGCAGCATCGTTTCCCTTAATACTAGTTTCAGTTACACACAACGTACCCATTTTTCAATTATTAATCTCATTTGTAAATTCATACTCCTTTTTTTGTAATATTTTATTGATTTCTAATTTTACATTTAAGTATTTAAAAAGCAACATGATAGCTGAGTAAATCGATAATTCAATAACATACAAAAATCTTTAGTACAGATCTCAAGCTACTACTTCAAATATTTCCTCTTTTTCCCTTAATATCTACTGTCTCATATTTGAACTAATACAGTTCTTATTATATCAATTAAGTAAAAAATAGCATTGTTACATTTATCAATAATTTTTTAGCTTATATATATCCTCATTGCTTTAACAGTCTTTATAGACAATCAATGCCCTGTTGTTAGTTTTTCCCAATTTTTAGTTTCCCATCAATATTTAAATTTAACATTTGATATTTACAATTTCCAAGTTTTAGGTAACCAAATTTCCTTTATCACAAGTCATAACAAAGTTTAACATTCAAGATACACATCTTATCTATTTAAGTATATTCTATTTCCCACCATCTTACATCATCTAATTAGTAATACAGTATAACATTCTTATTTTCAACTAATTTCCAAATGTCTTAAATTTAGTGACCAAAATTTCCCCTATTTCAACATCAAATATTTCCTCTCTTTTTCCCTTAATATCTACTGTCTCATATTTAAGCCAATACAGTTCTTATTATATCAACTAAGTAAAAACATGTTTATTACATTTATCAATACATTTTAGCTTATACATACCTTAATTACTTTTACATTCAATCTTTATAGACAATCAACATCTTATTTATTTGTTTTCCCCAATTAACTTTTAATATTTATACTTCCAAGTTTTAAGTGACCAAAATTTTCTTTATCTCAATTCATAACAAAATCTAGTATTCAAAATATATATCTTGTCTATTTGAGTATATTCTATTTTAATTATAAAATTATATAAAATCTTCTCTAATCAATCAAAACCCCAATTTTCTTCAGCCTTATTCTGTCTTTCTTCCTTTGCCAGCTCGTCTTCCATGTCAGTGCTTTTAAGTCATCAAATAGATCTCCCTCTGTTGTTATATATATTATTTGAAATAAAAGAGACCGTCCAGTCGCCATTTTTTTTTGGAAGGGCTAGCCAATCGTCTCCCTAATATTCCACATCCCCATAGTTGTCCTGATATGTTTGTCTTCTCTTCGGTCTATTCTTCTTGCTCAAGTTTCTTTTGGTTTATATAGAAAGTCTTTTCCATTTTTAGTGTTGTCAGTCCCTTTTCTAGATTTTCAATTGACTGTATTTGTGGGTCAATTGAATCCTCTATCACAGTATTTAATTGTTCCATTTCTTCTGTTATCTTCCGCGTGGTTGATTCTTTAATTGTAGTCAAAAATTGGGTTCATATATCTAGGCTGACATCTTGTTCTTTTCTGTAGCATCTTATTTCATCACAAGCTGAAAGAATGGTTTCACTTATTGCTTTCAACATAAAAAGAATCTGTTCCTGGTCTTCATCCATATTCTCTTAATGGTGTGTTAAATTGAGGGCTTTAAAGTCTGAGAATGAAAATAATTTTATCTGAGTATAAAACACAGCTTAGCTTCTCACAGCTGATATTTGTCAAGGTTGAAATATCAAGGTTATTTGTAGTCTGGTTTCAAGCCAAGTCTCCGATAATAACAAGTTGTAATATCAAACTTGGCCACAAGATGTCACCAATGCCATTTAAGGCTTTTTAAGTCCAAAATTTTTATAATCCTTTTTCCAATTTTATTTTATTTTTTTTGTAAATAAAAACCAAAGTCTTCAGTAAAGATAAGAAATCTTTTGGTCCCCAAATTTTAGAAGCATATAAATCCCTCTCTTCTCACAGGGAGGAAGATACTTTGGGCAGTTTTTACAGGAGAAGAAAATACTTAGGATTGAAAAGAGGTTCAGATCTCACCCAGTCTCATCAGTGCTGCTTTAGAAGTGCCTGGTGGTAAGTTTGACTTTGGCTATCTGCAGCCTAGTGACGAGCCATATTTCTATCCTGTGATCAAGCAGGGGTTTCGGTAGGAGTGACTCTTGACCCTTTCCAGGGTCCCCCACTGATTCGAAATTGAACGCGGAAGACGGAGCTCGCCTTCCAGCGGCTGCAGCAGCCACAATGGCAAACCGGAAGTCTGTAAATTCATACTCTTTATCATTTATATTCCAAGTCACAATTTTCATATGCATTAGTCATCACTATGGTTGATAGAAGCTGATGATAAAAAGCTAAAACTGATTTTATTAAGATTGCCAATAATAATAGAATCTTGCAAGTCTGTTTTTGATATTGCTTTTCATCCTTGTTCAGTGAATTATGGAGGTATTTGCCTGAGCCATGTCACATATTGCATTCCTTGCAAACATTAAGGAGGATATCAGTCAGTGTTAGTTCCTGTTGGCTTGTATATCACAAATCCAGTTAAAGCCCAATTGTGTTGCTGATATGCTCATGTTGTTCTGGACAAACTAAAATCTCTTATCTACAGGCTGCCTTGTAATCCATCATACTGTTGCCCTGCCTTCCACCAGTCAGTTTGTGTACACAGTCTATCTAAAGAATACCTCCGAGAAAGTTAAAACAAACTTTTAAATCCTAATGAGAATAATATGTTTTTGATATTACATGAGGTTTGGTAAGAATATTACTTAATAATTTGTAAGGGATAAAACTAGACCTTTCTAAATCCCCATGTCTGACTCCATTTCCTATCCCATTAGGTCAGAAAAAGAATAGGAGACTATAAGATACTCTCTTATTCACTTCTTTTTGTTTATATTATGAAAATATTACGTTAAGTGTTTGCCAGTTATTTCTCATGACTGAGTTTGAAAGAACATGAACTCTGGGACAAGGTGGAGAAACGATGCTGCCAAAGAACTGTAACAAACAAGTCCTGTATTCTACAGATCAGAGAAGCAATTGCAAGCTAATACTATAAAAAGGTCAACCCACAGCAAGAATATCCCAAGCTTTAATTTCCAGTATCAAATAATTCTCAGTTCTTCAGGATGACCACACTTAAAAAATTGTGGCTTGGTTAAAATTTCAATTAGCAAAACAAAGTTTGTATTCTGAATTGCTATGAAATTATCAACCAAGGCATGGATGCTTGTTTTTTTTAGTATCAAAATCTGGCTTGTTTAAAATGAGAAGTGAATCCTTAATGAAATGAGAAGAAAGATGACCTTTCCAAGCAAGAGCTATATCAGAAGGCATCCTTCACAACTGCTAGATAGTCACTAATAATACTTGTACTAAATCTTTTTGTGCATGTGTTCTTCACAATGAAATAATTTAACAAGTACCTTCTGTTCCTACCTTAGGTTGCTCAAGAAAAGAAATAACTGAGCATTGGGAATGGCTTGAACAGAATTTACTACAAACTCTTTCTATCTTTGAAAATGAGAATGATATAAACACTTTTGTCAGAGGAAAAATACAGGTATTGTATTTTTTGATCTGTTCAATATATATGTGACTAGGAAAAGCTAGTATGTGATTGTATTTTATATCTGATCTTCTTGTCCGTGTGCATTTTTAAAAAGATGATTCCAATAACAGTGTAATATTGTTTGCACAACCGGAGTAATCAGCAATGCCAGTATTAAATGGTATTCATAGGAAGAGGTTCAAACTGGTATTTTAAACCCATGACAATCCTGCCAGTTGCAACACAATTTCTAAAATGTTGGAGTAATACTGTCTCTTTTGCTCATCCACACATACCTTATATAATTTGACTATCGTTTTTCAAAAGCAGATTTGCCATGCAATTTGGCAGCTGTTATGTAGGAGAATTAATCCAGTCAAAAAAAGCCAATACAATCCTGGGTTGTATAAACAGAGGCATAGAATCAAGATCATGTGAGGTATTAGTACCACTTTATAAAACCCTAGTAAGACTACACCTGTAATACTGCAGACAATTTTGGTCACCATATCACAAAAAAGATGTTGAGAGTTTGGAAAAAAATCAAAGAAGAATAACTAAGATGATCAAACGCCTGGAGACTAAAACATACGAAGAACGGCTGCAGGACTTAGGTTTGGCTAGTCTAAAGAAAAGAAGAAATAGGGGAGATATGATAGCAGTATTCCAGTATTTGAGGGGCTGCCACAAAGAAGAGGAGGTCACGTTATTCACCAAAGCACCAGAGGGCAGGACAAGAAACAATGGCTGGAAACTGATCAAAGACAGAAGCAACCTAGAATTAAGGAGAAACTTCCTGACAGTGAGGACAAGTAACCAGTGGAACAGCTTGCCTCCAGAAATCGTGGGCACTCAATCACTGGAGATTTTTAAGAAGAGGCTAGACAGTCACTTATCTGAGGTGGTATAGGTTCTCCTGCTTGAGCAGGGGGCTGGACTAGAAGACCTCCAAGATCCCTTCCAGTTCTATTCTATTCTACTACTGGTTTAGCAGAGATTAGCAAGTTATGAGTGACATCTGGATTTGTACTTTCTCAACCAAAAGATTATTATGTGAAGGATTAATAATGGGAGGCTCTTGAGCTGGATGGCACTCACATGCCATGGATAGGGTTAGCTTACCTCCAGAATCTTTTTAATAGTGACTGTAGCAAGTATCTTGCAACCTTGTTAAATCTTATGAGATCAAGCTACTGTATTTTCATAGGCGATCTCGTGAAGCTGTGGCAATTGTTTGTTTATTAAACATTTGTTTCCTGAAACATAATATGAAATTGTGCAGTGGTTTTCCATATGAATGGGTTGCTTATATTTGGAAAGTGTATTAAAGGGGAAAATTATAATTATTTAAGATTTGTCTTAAATCTCTTATTTCTAAATTAATAGAGCAATATGTGTAAAATGTAGGGATCATAATTTAAACACTAGAAGTGAAACGCAAAGGGCATAGTTGCTCTGAGAATTCCAAATGGTCCTATATGATCTACTTTAGGGTATCATCGCAGAATACAACAAAATCAACGGTATTCGGGAAGATGATGACACGGCCAAATTTAAGGAAGCAACAGTGAAGTTTCATAAATTGTTTGGGATGCCAGAGGAGGAGAAACTTGTGAATTACTATTCCTGTAGTTATTGGAAAGGGAAAGTCCCACGTCAGGGTTGGATGTATCTCAGCATTAACCATCTGTGTTTCTATTCTTTTCTCATGGGACGAGAAGGTAGGAATGAATGGCTTCTTACTGAATTATTAACAGGTTCATTTATTACAAATGTACAGCATGTATGACTTAATGTTCTTCTTATTCTCATGTGCAGGAATTAGAGGTGAGAAAATAAGTATTACAATAATGAGCAAAAGGAAAGGTGGTCTAATAAATTGAAGAAACTACACAGTACTATTTCACTGAATATATTCTTCAAATCTTAATATTACCATATACAGTATGTCATGTAGAAGAAGCAGCATACAGTATATATAAAATGTTGAAGCAAAAGAGTTAATTCATCCTTAGCTGACAACATTATTTCCAAAGAATTTTAGGTTTTGATCCAAATAACTGCTGAAAATTCATGGACATGCATGGATGAACCCTTTTTTACTCATATTAACATTTTCTAAGAGGTTTATAGCTTTGAATTGTGGAATGAATAATTGTAACTTGTTTGACTAGTATTGGTCACTGATATTCTGTTGCCATGATAAGTACCTGTATTTTTAGTACATGGATTGACTTAGCTAGTTTTGGAATGGTGTATCCTTACTTAAAATTTATGATACACAGACTAATAAGTACTTAAGTAATTTAATGTTTGTATCTTGCTTGCTTTTTTGTTAAGCTTTATTGTACAGTTAGAAAATGATTTAATTCTCTTTCAGATGTGTGTAGGGATAGGTTTTTATCTGTAAAACAATCTGTTTACACTTGCCAGTCAGATAGTATAGTAAATATATAAATATATCAGAAGATCCTACAAATAGCAGCCAAATCCTTTCAGCTGATAACTGCCTAGTACTAGAGACTCAACCAGTTGAAGGCACTGAGACTAACATTTGAGCAAACTTTCAAAGGACTGCACCATAAATCAGTATTTAGTTTTATAAATGTGAGTGGTTTATAATTATTATAAATTTTTTAGATTTTATCATCTGATTTTTTGAATTTGAAACTATTGAATGTTGTTGTTTCTTCTGAAGCTATATTTTTCTTTAATAGCTAAACTTGTCATCCGATGGGTAGATATCACCCAGCTTGAGAAGAATGCAACTCTGCTGTTACCTGATGTGATCAAAGTTAGCACAAGATCCAGTCAGCATTTCTTTTCTGTATTTCTCAACATCAGTGAAACATTTAAACTAATGGAACAACTTGCTAACATAGCTATGAGGCAACTTTTGGACAATGAAGGCTTTGAGCAAGACAAATCACTCCCCAGACTTAAAAAGAAGTCTCCTAAAAAAGTATCTGCCCTAAAACGGTAGGATTTGGAATCAGTTGCTATTTTGCAGCCCGAACCAAGCAAGTTGCATGCTGACTTAGCATTATGCTTCAGCCCTGATAGATTTTTTTTACACGGGTTTCTCTTATTTTACATGTGCGTGTGTGGTTGGAGGGAGTGTTTCATGGGGGAACATCTATGAAATTGAAGGATTTGATTGAAAGAACCAGCAGACAACAGCATTCTATTTCCTCCCTTTTTATTCAAACTGCCAATAAAACACAGCAAAAGCAGTTTTCATTTTTTTCAACCTCAAGGTTCACAAGAATGATTTACATTGCCTACTATTCCATTCTGAGCAGTGCCTCCTTCAGATAATACTATGTTTCAAAAGTATGAGATCACTTTTCTCTCAGCTCGTAACTTTCTGTTCTAACCAACTTTAAATGGGTATAAGCATACAATTACATGTTTAACACAACATAGTTGTTGCTTAACATTGGTAATTGAAAGGGGCAACTCCATTGTTGAGGCAGTCATAAAGCATGATGTCATGTAACTGTGCTGATTTACAGCAACAGTTGCAGCATTTCCAGTTGTCATCATTAGGGGAATCTCTTGCATTGCAGTGTTCCATGGTCATGTGATTGCCATTGTAGGCTTGTTCCTTTAAACTACTCCATAAAACTCCATGTACTGTAGAAATATTACATCAAGTAATGTAACAAAGCAGATACCATTCTACTGTCTACATCATGATCTCAGTTCCTTCTTGTTTCTGGTTGCACTTCTAGCCTTTTAATGGGACTGTTTTTAATTCACAGATTTTAGACACAGTAAGGCAAAGGTGTCAAACTGCCGGCCCACGGACCGGTTGCATCATACAGAGGCCGCGCCTACCCCAGTTCCAGCAATGTGAAAAAGTCACGATATGTTGCGACACGTCATGTGACGCAGCAAGTTTGACACCCATGCAGTAAGGTGTAAAAAAAAGTATACTGCTATTGCCACTAACACTACTACAAAAAGTCTGAAAAACATGTTAAAGCAATTTTATAAATTTGTTTTAAGCCCTATTAATATAAATGTTGCCATTTATATATAAAAACTGCTGTAAAAATAATTCTATAAAGAATATACTTTGTTGCTTATTTTTAATGCAAAAGCAAGAACTACATGAGACGTGTGCATGTAATTGGAATGTTTGCCATTGAAATCTGAAATACTGTTTTTCAGGGATCTTGATGCCAGGGCAAAAAGTGAAAGGTACCGTGCTTTGTTTCGGCTTCCAAAGGATGAAAAACTAGATGGACATACCGATTGTACTCTGTGGACCCCATTTAATAAAATGCACATTTTAGGTCAGATGTTTGTGTCTACAAATTACATTTGTTTCACTAGCAAAGAAGAAAATCTATGCAGTCTCATCATCCCACTTTGGGAGGTCAGTATAAACATGCTGGTTTTATTATATTGGGATTACTATGAACATCCAAGATATCTGATCAGGGCAGAGGCCCAGCCCACAAGTATGGCTTCATCAGCGATGCCTGAAGGCTTGTTTGGAAGCCTCTCTGGCACTAGAGTATGGTGCTAGGCCCTAATCTAGCTGATTTCTTCTCCCCTGTTGGTGTGTTTTTGGCTTTGCAAAACTTTTTGCTGCTTGTCTGCCTCTCTTATGGCGGATCTCTCGGAGCCTACCCCATCCATGAGGTACCCCATGCTCAATTAATATCTCACATGTTTGTTTAACGGTGCCATCAGAGACCAGAGTGTGTGTATGACATTAAGCAAGACTGCCTCACTTAACGGTTGTCACCGCTTGTAAGCATAATGGGCAGGGTCCATTATGGTTATAGGTTGAGGACTACTTATACACACAGCTGCTCACTGTTCAGTCAGCAATTCATGCATTGTTACCCCATTTATTGCACCACCCGTGGCATCACCCAATTGTCACAAATTTTCTCTTTGATCAAGAAATTATAATTTGCCATTGGCAAGGTCTAACTTGGACCAACAAGTGTGTCATATTTCTTGAAATAGCTATGTCTCTTTTTCAAGAAGAATTTGAATACTGAATTCATGTTTATGGAATCATTTACAGATTTTATAACAGAAGATCTCTATATTTTAGACATACTGTTTTATCAATAATTCACATTTATCGGGAATTAACTATTATTTATACATTTAAAGTACATCTGAAAACTAAAGAATATAAAATAGAAAGAGTAGAATAGAAAAGGCCATGACTGGCATACCATCTGACACCTAAACAAAGAACATTATAAACTATGAAAAAAATCATATCGAGAATTATTACTGTAGAGTCATAACTGCCTCTAGTAAATCTGACAGGGAGATGATGAAATATTACATATTTGGATTATTTAATCTTCCCTTATGCAATAGTAAAACAAGTATGCTAAAAATTTATAATGCCATCTGAGTTTTTAGAATTATAGCTTCTATAATCCTGGATCACTCATAAGAACTTGATAGTTTTTTCAGTATTTAAAAACTGCAATTATGTTGATGTGTGACCAACTGCCTCTTCCAGTGTTTCCTTTCATTTAGACTTTCTTTATTTTGGTCCTTCTATTTCCGTGTGTCCTATTAGGTGACAATTGTTGAAAAGGCAGATAGCTCAAGTGTCTTACCTAGTCCATTATCTATCAGCACTAAAAACCGAATGACGTTCCTCTTTGCCAACTTGAAAGACAGAGACTTCCTAGTGCAGAGGATTTCTGATTTCCTCCAGAAAACTACTTCCAAAATTTATTCTGAAAGAGAGATTTCTGGAAGTTACAACAGTTCAGATGATGAGGTGAGTAGATTAAACTCACTTTGAGTTTAATTTGATTATGTAATTATTACCCCAGGTAAGATAATTACACTAAATTTTGATTTGCACTTTTCCATTTGTTTTGTTTCGTTCTAGCCTTCGGGCTGATCTTGTTTTCTGTAGATTGCCTGTTTTCCTTTCTGTTTCTAGTGATTGCAAGTCCCTATTGTTTTCTTGGAAACATTTTTTGGGAGGTGTTTTGTCAGTGCCTTCTTCCTATCGGTAGGGTCGAAAGAGACAGAGTGGCAGATAGTCATTCAACTGGATGTTTTGTGACAAAGGCAGGAATAAAACTCATGGTCTCCATGAGTTTCTAGCCTGGTGTCTTTAACCACTAGCTCTGTGTACTTGCCCTACAAACCATGATTTACCATTTTTTATAAGTTAGGTTGGGTTTGCGAAGACACATAACTATAAATACTAAATCATAATATTTGATTTTGCTTGGAGAATTTTCAACCAGTATGCATATTCAATCCAATGTAGTAGAGCAGGAGTCTGCAACCTTGACATGCTGGCTGAGCAATTCTGGGAGTGAAGTCCACAAGTCTTAAAGTTGTCAAGGTTGCAGACCCCTGTAGTAGAGAGCATAGAATTTTTCATATTTAATCTCAGCCTTAGAACCATTATTCCATAATATGTATTTCTTCTGCTTAAAAATACTCAAATTCACAAGCTATCATCTTTTCTGAGTCCACAAAATGCCAACCTTTCAGTTTTGAATATTTACCAGATGGCAATTAAAATGCAAGGCAGTAAAATTCAAAGGAAATATATTGATCAAACATGTATAACATAATACTTCTAAAAGCTATTTTGTGTGCATTAAAAATAAATTCAAAATGTAGAATTAGATCTTAACCATTTAAAATCTTTGGTTTTCTTAATTATCTGAATGATTTGTTTGCAGATATTTGGTTCTTTCTGAGTATAGCTGATTTAGCAATAGCTGAAAATTATAAACACTCTCCCAGTCTGGAAGCCATCAATAGCCCTCTGTTTCTGTCGTTGTTTCAATAGAACCATAAGAATCTGCCTAGCTTGTGATGCAATAAGTTAAATACAGTTCACAAAGCATGGAAGCAGATTAGAAGCTTATGAAAATCTATTTTGAAATGGAAAATGACCAGAGCATAAGGGCACTTAAAGCAGAGTTCTTACAATATGTAAGAAGAGAATGTTTAATTCTGTTAGTCTTAAGACGTTCAAGCTTGTCATGGAAATGTCACACTAATAGTGTTTTCAATTTGGTGGCCTAAGTTGAAACATGATTTCTGTTATTCCAATTGTCTCTGATAATTGTAATTCACATACTTTGTTGGAGAACCATGAACTAACTTATTTGGTTAAAACAATGCAGCATTGAATTCAAAGAAACTTGTACCAGAACTCACTTCTAGATAGTTTTATAAGTAGTGAGTCATTCATAGCAATTAGAGGTTAGATTTCTCGGTCCTACTCCCCCACCGCAGGGAGGCAGAACCGATTAGGTGGTTCCGCCCCAGGCGTTTAATGGACCCGGAGGGGTTCCGAATAGCGCTTGGGGGTTTTCCTGATTCCCTCCTCCACGAACCGGCTGAGTCTTTGGTTGCTGCTTGGAATAAGGTGGCATCAGGGGCATTAGACCGGATTGTGCCTTTGCGACCTCTCCGTGATTGTGGATCCCAGAGGGCACCTTGGTTTACTGAGAAGCTACGGGAGATGAAGCGTCAGAAGAGACGTCTAGAGCGACGCTGGAGGGCTAGTAACTCCAAACCCGACCGGACACTTTTAAGAGCCTATATCAGGACTTACTTAGTGGTGATACGGGCGGCAAAATGTTCGCATTTTTCCGCACTTATTGTGTCTGCAGAATCTCGCCCCGCTGCCCTGTTTAGGGTGACCTACTTAATGTTCGGGAAGCCGGGGAGCCCTTGCAGGGTAGGGCAGAAGAATTTGTGCAGTTTCTATCAGACAAAATCGCTCGGATTCGGACAGACCTAGACTCCGATTAGGCAGGGCCTTCTGAGATGACCGGGGCAAGTCTTAGCCCAGTTTTATGGGATGAATTTGAGTCGGTGACCGCTGAGGATGTTGACAGAGCGGTGGGAGCGATGAGCGCCTCCACTTGTTTTTTGGACCCGTGTCCTTCCTGGTTGGTCTCGGCCGCCAAGGAGGTGACACGAGGCTGGGTCCAGGTGTTGATCAATGCTTCGTTGAGGGAGGGGTCCTTCCCGCAATCCTTGAAGGAAGCTGTTGTGAGGCCCCTTCTCAAGAAGCCTACCCTGAACCCGGCTGATTTAAATAATTTCCGTCCAGTCTCCAATCTCCCCTTTTTGGGGAAGGTTGTAGAGAGAGTGGTGGCGCTCCAGCTCCGACGGTTTCTGGATGAAGTGGATTACCTAGCTCCTTTTCAATCTGGCTTCAGGCCCGGCTTCAGCACAGAAACTGCTTTGGTCGCGCTGATGGATGATCTCTGGTGGGCCCGAGACAGGGGTTATTCCTCTGTCTTGGTGCTACTTGACCTCTCAGCGGCTTTTGATACCATCGATCATGGTATCCTTTTGCGACGACTTGGAGGGGTGGGAGTGGGAGGCACCGTTTTACTGTGGTTCTCCTCCTACCTCTCTGGCCGGTCGCAATCGGTAATGGTGGGGGGGGCAGAGGTCAACCCCGAGGCCCCTTGAATGCGGGGTGCTGCAGGGGTCGATCCTCTCCCCCCTCCTATTTAACATTTACATGAAGCCGCTGGGCGAGATCATGAGACAGCACGGGGTGAGGGTTCATCAGTATGCTGATGATACCCAGCTATATATCTCTTCCCCGAGCTCTCTCAGTGAAGCGGCTGATGTAATGGGCCGTTGCCTTGAAGCCGTGAGGGTCTGGATGGGGGTTAACAGACTCAGGCTCAATCCTGACAAGACCGAGTGGCTTTGGATGTTGCCTCCCAAGGATCATGTTAATTGTCCAGTGTTGATTCTAGCAGGGGAAAATATACCCCCTTCGGAGCGGGTTCGCAACTTGGGTGTCCTCCTTGATCCACAGCTGAAATTGGAACATCATTTGACGGCTGTGGCTGGGAGGACCTTTGCATAAGTTCATCTGTTGCACCAGTTGCGACCCTACCTGGACCTTACAGTCACTCATGCCCTCGTCACCTCACGCCTGGACTACTGCAATGCGCTCTACATGGGGCTACCCTTGAAAAGTATTCGGAGACTACAGTTGGTCCAGAATGCAGACGCGCGAGTGATAGTGGGTGTTACTCGGTACACCCACGTTACACCTATCCTCCGTGAGCTGCACTGGTTGCCTATTGGTCTCCGGGTCCAATTCAAGGTGTTGGTTATTACCTTTAAAGCTCTATATGGCTCAGGGCCAGGCTATTTGTGAGACCGTTTACTACCTCATAGTTCCCTTTGTCCGGTTAGATCCCACAGGCTGGGCCTCCTTCAGGTCCCTTCGGCCAAGCAATGCCATTTGGCGGTGCCGCGGGGGAGGGCTTTCTCTGTGACGCCCACGTCTTGGAACCAGCTGCCCCCGGAGATTAGGACCGCTCCCACCCTGTTGGTTTTCCACAAGCTGCTTAAGACCTGGCTTTTCCGGCAGGCCTGGGGTTTATAAAATCTGACCCCTGGATGAATGTTACTGTATTGTTTGTCTTGTTAAGTTATATTGTGTTTTTATTGTTAGCCGCCCGGAGTCCTGCGGGAGTGGGGCGGTCTATAAATTTTAATAAATAAATAAATAGTGGCACATAGCATCTGCAACATCACAAAACGGTATCCATTGACTTCCAACATAATTTTAAAATATCTAATTGTTATGAGATGGGAAACTTGCAACATTTCCAGCTTTCATCAAATTTTAGCTATTTTAAAATTTTGTTTAGTTATTTTGTTTGTAATGTTTACTTTATTTTTATGGTATCCACCAATGTAATACAGTGGTACCTTCCACCTGAAAGGTGTCTGAACCTTTTGATTTATAGGTCTTTCTCCCCCCCCCCCACACCTACTATTTTAGCATCTCCTGCAGTTTAGCTACAAATCAGAAGAAACAATAAGTGCCTGTCATTAACTACAATAACTTTTTCTGAAAATTTCAACCAAACTGAAATGTTCATTTATTTGCTTATCATTAACATAAGTTGTCGGAAACTGTAAGATGAAAAAATAATGTTTTTCTTGAGCATTCTTCTAGCTTCTTTGTCTTCTTGACAGTTTTTCAGATCAGTTTGATTGCTCCCACCATTTTTCTACCCCAATTGTTTTCAGGATCATTTATAAGTCATTTAAATAGTACAGGATGCCAAAGAAAAAACAATTACAAAAAAGTATGGCATTACCTTCCCTGGCAAGCTAAGAAACAATACGTTTGTGAGAATTTGTTGGGTCAGTCCTCTATATCAGGGGTCCCTAGTCCTGTATCAGTGGACTGGCACCAGTCTGCAACATGCCAGAAACCAGGCCGTGCAAACAAGTGAAGCCCCATTCATGAGATGCAGGCAGCACATGAAACCACGCCCCCTCCAGTCCGTGGAAAAATCTCTCTCCATGGAACCAGTCCCTGGTGCCCAAATGGTTGAGGGCCTCTGCTCTATATCAATTACAGTATGTTTCATAAATATGATGGTACTCAGAAAGGAGAAAAAAAAAGCTGTTCTGCTTACAAAAGATTTTACAAGATTAACATAACTTCATTGCTGTTATAATTTGTTATTTGGAGAATATTTATGGATGTATAATTTTTAAGAACAACTTACAGTAGAGTTATTATGCTATAGATATACTATATATTAGAAAATGTTCAAAAATATTTTATGAGAGGTTTAAATATTTTGCTTAAAGGGAGAATGTGTGTTTCTTCAAGCTTTGTTTTAATGCCAGAAATCCTCTGCGTTTTATCTGATTCTCAGTGATCTTGTATGGATCTATATTTATAAGCAATTACCGATTAAAGGGTGGACGCAGCTGATACAAAGGGTGAGAGGGGCGCAGTCTTCCTTCTTTTGGGCTTCAAACGCATTTGGCAAAAGTGCACTTTTTCTGCCCCAGTGCCTTTCATCTTCAATTGCTTGAATTACTCAGGCTCAGCACTAAAAGTGGGAGGAAGGAGGGATGGGCAGTGTGATACAGCAAAAGTATGAGCTAAACTGTTTCCTATCTTAAAGCTTTTAAAATGTGGGCACTAGTATCTTAGCACTGTTTTGACATTGGTTGTCATTTTTTCATTCTGTCCATTCCTGAGCTCTCTATGAAGTACGTGGGCTCCCCATAAGCAGCCCCCCCTCCCCAGTTTCTAATTACATGCAGAGACTGAAGAAGCGGTAGTGTTTATCCTTGAGAAGAGAAGAGCAATAAAGGATATCTGAAAGGCTTTCACGGAGAAAACTCAAGATCTATTCTCTGTCGTGCCAGAATGCAAGACATGGAATCATAGATATAAGTTACAGGAATGCAGATTTAAATTGTGTTCCTGCATTCAGACATATATTAGCTGTTTGTCAGAGATGGTTTAATTTGGAATCCTGTACTAAGCAGAGGTTAAAAGTGATGCTGTGTGATTCCCTTCAGGTTTATTCAAGGGCAAGTAGTATTCTTTCATCCAGCCCCCAGAGAAGCCTGAACTCTGAGGTGGATGGAGACCAGCACTTCAACTTGAATGGAAATAGTGTCCCAACTATCACACAGGCACTAATGACTATGTATCGTCGGCGTTCTCCAGAGGAATTCAACCCTAAATTAGTAGGTTGAATTAATATTTTTTTGCTCTTACTTGTATAGCAAAAATGCTGGCTCTGTTCATTTTAAAATATGTGGATGTAAATTGTATCCGCACCAGTTTCTTGATTAGGATGGTGGATGAAGTCAGTTTTGAAAAATAGTTAACATCTTAATTAATTTAAACTTTGTAATATACTATCTGCTGATTCAATACTTTGAAGAATTAAGACAGAACATATTACAAATGAAAAAATAAGATACATTATATCATTGATAAAAATTATTTCATTGTTCTCTGATTTATTTATGTACATTTATTATGGCAAGAATGACATCGTACAGTGATAGTGAAAGCATTTTTGGTTGAAAAAGAGTGTCACAAGTAATTGTTCCAGAGATTATTTTCATCATCATCATCAAACTTCCAAAGAGCTAATTAATTATGTGGCATCAAAAATGTTTTGTTTGAACATCAAATAAATATGCTTTTGAAATTAACACATGACAAAAGTTTCATTGTAAGACTAGTGAGACATACCATTCAGTTATTTCATCATAATTGGCCACAAGATTAATGAATTCTATTACACAACGGTTTCCGTGTGTATTTTATGCTGTCGTATCTATTACTTTTAAGGCAAAAGAATTTTTGAAAGAAGAAGCTTGGAAAATGCATTTTGCTGAATATGGCCAAGGTATCTGTATGTATCGTACAGAGAAAACCAGAGACCTTGCATTAAAAGGTATTCCTGAAAACATGAGAGGGGAACTATGGTTACTCTTGTCAGGTAGGTATCAGTAGGTAATATAACTCTAGAAGGTTTTATCAGCAGTTGGTTTATTTGCTCCTGGGGAATTCATTATGTACAAAGTGGAGATCCAAATGTTGGCTGCAAGCAAATGGGAAGTTATAGTTGCATTGCTAAGCATTTTTATTCACCAGGAGATTTCTCTGATTTCATCAGAATTAATTTGGTGATAGATTTCTTTAGAATTGCCAGAAATAGAGATACAGAATCTAAATAAATAATTACTTTACAATGTTAAGATCCCCCCCCCCTTCCCAAATTATGGAATGAGTACTGTAATTTAAGGCTCTGGATAAACTTTGTAGACTATCAAGAGAAAAGCACATGTCTTAATATGTATTTACATTGGCTGTTGAAGTAGAGCTCCATTATCATCTTTAAATGAATTCATATATGCATATGTGTATGCACAATATGCACTCCCACATTAGCGCGGCTGTGTGTTTGTGTGGTATTTTGACTCATTTAGAATAAATATTGTCACCCAATAAACTATCTTAGGAAAAGAAACAGATTAGCCAATTCACTGGCAAATCAAATATCTGGCAATACTTAATTAAAATGTAAGGTTTTTATTAAAACATATTTTTATAGAGTTGGGATCCAAAAAGACACTTTAGATGGATTCAGAATTTTAGATATAATTTTTTTTAAAGGTTTTATAATTAGCATCCCCTCACAGCAAGATAATGTTTCTGTTACAACTTTAAAATGTGGGTGTGTGTCCAACAATGACTTGTATATTCCTAAAAGTCAGCCGATCTCTTGGGCATGAGAATGATCTGTGCAGTTAATTTGATTCTTGGCCTACATCTATAATCTATATGTCAATGTACTTATTTGCATTTCTAGGAGCAATAAATGAAATGGTTACCCATGCTGGCTATTATGAAGACTTGGTGGAGAAATCTATGGGGAAATATAATCTTGCGACAGAAGAGATTGAACGGGATTTGCATCGCTCTCTTCCAGAGCATCCAGCATTCCAGAATGAGATGGGTATTGCTGCTCTGCGGCGAGTCCTAACTGCATATGCATTTAGAAATCCAAATATAGGATACTGCCAGGTATCATACAATAGATTCTTTCACTCATCCTAATGCTTTTATTGTTTTGTTCAGTGTTTCTCAACCTTGGCAACTTTAAGACTTGAACTCCCAGAATTCCCGAGTTTTCTATATAACATTGATGCATACTAGTTAATTTAGGTACAAATTCATAATCCATACATCTGCAGCTTTGCTAAGAAATGTACCACTGATAATAGACTTCAATTCAGGAGGATGGGCTTCAGGAAGGCAACAAATCTTTGTATAGGTATACAGTACGTAGCATCCAAAATACTTTGTATTCAAAACAGACTGTGCTATGGATCTTAGAGAAAACTAATGAAAGAAAAAAAAAGTGCATTCAGCTTTTGTATATTGCTTCATTGTTTCTCTGCATAAGACATCTATCTTGCAGTATGTTACTTTGCAAGTTTTCAAGGAGTCCTGTAGATAACAAAATACGTGATATTAAAGTGTTTTTAACAATGATTTAATTCTCCAATGAAAAGGGCTGTATTGAGGTTTGCTGGAAGAGGTTACAGAAAATTTAAACTTAGACTCCCTCGGGACTTTATCTAGATCCGGTGTCTCAAACTCAAAACTTCAGAAGTATTGCATTAGCTTGATTATACTTTAGTTTGAGGGCTATAACACTAAAGCTTTTTAATAGATTGATATAAAATTCTATAGGAAATTTAAAAGATGTAGTTTTGTTTGATCAATATCCCATTGTTCCCCAAGCTGAAGAGTGTTCAGTTGCAATTCTGTCTTCTATTTTTTTCCCAATCTGCCAATTATTATTGTGATTTGTGCTAAGAATAACTGGCCCAAAGTAAGTTTTCTGGTCTGAGAGTGAATTAGAACCTGAGTTTCCACAATTCTCATCTAATGCCTAAATCTTTCATTACACCATCTTGCTATCACGGTGGTCCATTAAACTTAGATGTAGCAAATGCATTCGTTTTACAAACAGATCTGTGAAAGCTGCAAAGAGGCCATATCACTTTGGCCCCTGAAACTGTACTGTAGCATTTTTCATTAACCAGAATACTATTATTTTGACTATTTTTTTCAAGGTTATAAGTAGGATAATATAATTTAGAAAATCTTCCCCACTTGTAGCTGTCCAAAGTCTCTTTTTCTTTTCCTTTTCTATTCTTGCTAAGTAAAGAGATTTTCCTCAAGTCTTTTTTTTTCTTTTCTTCTCTCCTTGCCTGACTGGTCTTTCCTCTTTCCTTTCTTTGCCCAGCAAAGAGCCTCTGCTTGATTGTGGCTGTCTATCCTATTACTTGCCCAGCAAAGAGGATCACATGGGAGGTGGCCAAACTCCACCAGGTGCTCATGTACCTATTTATGTTCCTCAGAAAACTCCAACCTTCCAGTCAGACATCCCTGAGCAAGCCTTAGTTCCTTATTGCCTTTGCCTGAAGAATCTAGCACCCACTACAGAGTGAAAGGGCAAACAAGAGTTCCCAGGCAGTGCCACTGTTTATTGTGAGATTCTTGTGCACCAGGCCCAGCTATTGTTATGACACCTGCTGGGTTGGGCAATGGTAAGCTGCCACGGTCAGGCTATTCAACTTCTTGGATAATTTTCTGTGGCTTAATCTGGTGTCCCTAGGTCTTTAGCTCTCACAAACTATGATTTTAGGCTACAGAAAATGACTTAGAGAGCTGCATGTTTCAGTCCCCTGAACTATTAGACAGTATCTATCAGTTATGTAATAAGAAGTCTTGGTGATCTTGTGATCCAGGTAATAGACTTTTTAAAACAGAAATTACATCTATAGGAAGATTATGGGGAGCAACCAGTGGGTCACCTTATTCATAAAAGCAGATCTGAAATATTTCTGTCATAAATCATTTTAAAATGTTAAGGCCATCTTAAGTCTAACATATATTTTCTGGACCTATGTGGACATGGTGTGAGCCCCCCAAAATGTTCAGCTTCTTTAAAGAGCAGTTGGCAGATAGGAAGAGGTGCTCACACTGAATTGAAAGTGCTTTTCTCTGCTTTGGATCCCAACACTGCATATCACTTGCATCTTCCTGTCCAGTGGAGGAAGCTCAGCTGTGTTTTCCTAGAAGGGTCTTGTGATGTTTATTATCTGCTCTCCTTTCTGATTTTCTTTTCTGACTGATACCTAACATTCTGTTACTACCGAATATGCTTTGTCTCCATGAGGCAGTTTCTGGGAGCTATCATCTACTTTATATTTTTATTTTATTATTATTATTTCTTCTTCTTCTTCTTCTTCTTCTTCTTCTTCTTCTTCTTCTTCTTCTTCTTCTTCTTCTTCTTCTTCTTCTTCTTCTTCTTCTTCTTCTTCTTCTTCTTCTTCTTCTTCTCCTTCTCCTTCTCCTTCTCCTTCTCCTTCTCATTATTATTATTATTATTATTATTATTATTATTATTATTATTATTATTATTATTATTATTATTATTATTTTTAGTCTGGTTCCCTTGAGCCTGCTGATACTATCATCCCATTTCTCCACTGCCTGTTTTGATGAATGGCCCTCAATACTTGAAAATTGTCGTGTTAGAGAGAGTAACATTGGAATAATTGAGTTCTTTACAACTGGCACTAAGAAAATAAAATCTGTGGAGTCCATGGTGCTCTCTGAGCTTAATTGTTTGCTTGCAGCACTAGGTAATATCAGTGCAATCAATAAAATATTTTTCCTATTCATGTTTTGTCATCCCCCTCTAGCCTTTTAAAACTATAGTTAATCCCTCCAGTGATTTTTCTGTGAGAATGAATGTTGGGGGCTCTTTCGTTTTAAGTCTCATGGGAAATATTTTTGAAATCTTAAGTCATAGCAACTTGCTCATTATATGTCTACTGCTTGACAGAATCTGTTACGAAAAATGTGTCAAATTAGATAACTGTGTGTCTTAAATATTTTCTAGGCCATGAATATTGTTACATCAGTCTTGCTATTGTATGCAAAGGAAGAGGAAGCATTTTGGTTGCTGGTGGCTTTATGTGAGCGCATGCTGCCAGATTACTACAACACAAGAGTTGTTGGTATGTTAATAGGACTTTATAAAAGGCTAATAATTGGGAAATTATTTAAAACTATCAAAAAGTTAAATTTGAGTTGTAGATTTGGATGTTTTGAATCCATTATATGGCATGATACTAGAGCTAATTAAGTAGGTAGTTATTTATGTTACATTTTTATGCTTTCTTATTTCATATCACAGCTAAATATAAGGTATATGTATTTTGTTCCTAGTGTGTAAAATAAAACCATGTTGTTTATAAACTGCAGATATTGCTAAAGTTGTGTTGATTGCTGGTTACTTAAATTGGAAAACAATTATTTAAGTAGGCTATTAATAATAATATTATTTTTATTTACATTTATGTGAATCAGACAACAAGTATGCATGTTTTTAAAAAAGCCTCTCTTCTGAATGAGAAAATAGTATAGTTAAATAAGTAGATAACCTTATGTCCCAAGATGATTTGGGCTGTAGTTTCCACAATTCTTCCCATTGGTCATGTTGACTGAGGCAGACGAAATTAAAAACACCTAAGTGTAATTCAACATGGTTGAACTTGGAAAATGCTTTTACAGTACTTCATTTTAGTAGATGGGCATGAATACATATTCTGAGATTCCAGTTTCACATATCAAATGCTGATTATACCTTGCAGGTGCTCTGGTGGATCAAGGTGTGTTTGAAGAATTAGCTCGAGATTATATCCCACAACTCTATGACTGCATGCAGGATTTGGGAGTCATTTCAACCATCTCTCTTTCATGGTTCCTCACACTCTTCCTCAGTGTAATGCCTTTTGAAAGTGCTGTTGTGGTGGTAGATTGTTTCTTCTATGAGGGTATAAAGGTGATATTCCAGTTAGCACTAGCTGTGCTAGATGCAAATGTAGAGAAGTTGCTGAACTGTAAAGATGATGGTGAAGCTATGACTGTGTTGGGAAGGTAAGTACTCTAATTCCAGATTTTCCTTCCATTCAATTACATGCAGAGCAAGTCATTCCCCCCCCACACCTTTAAATTAGAAATTTTGCATTGCCGGAAGCTTTTCATATAACACAAGGAAAGCTTAGCTCTTAAGTGGAGGCTTTTGGCTTTCTTACTAATTAGTCTCTGCTAGCCACTTTACTTCAGTGTTTATTTTCTTTTGATCTTTGTAATTTGATTTAATTATAAGAGGCAGTTTTCTAGAGAGTTAAGTAATTCCTTTAGTGTAGCATTGTCATTCCTGGCCCAAAGAGAAGTCTTGCCCAGCCTTTTTGATAGAGGTTTTAGAATAAAAATTTCCTGGGATTTCATATATACAGAGCAGAACGCAAATATCTCCTTCAAATGAATATGTTTTTTATCTTTAAACAATTGCTGCTTCTGTTGCATTTAGTAGATTTAATCACACATAGGCACATAACACTGTTTCAAGTTCAACTATCTTTGGATCACTCTGGAATGGTTTAAACCAGAAAACTATTTAAAGCTTCAGCACTGTTGTGACTTTTCATGTGACTATCTAAAAATGAAACATTTGTTGATATTTTGCTTCTTGAACCATGAGTATGTGTCAATACACTGCATATATTTCCAAAATGATAGAATGCTGGCAACAATATTTAACTTGCAGGGAAATCCCTAGTCCAGATCAGACATACTTAGAATAAAATTGGGCCATTATTGTCAACCTGGCCCAAATCAGTTCAAACTAACTGGTACTGTCATTATTATTATTATTATTATTATTATTATTATTATTATTATTATTATTATTATTATTATTATTATCACATTGTGATTAGATATGACAAAGGCCCTTTCTCTGTCTCTTTACAAAGTGTTAGAGAAACCTTTGGTTGAACAAATCCATGATGGATGATGGAAGCCTGTATTTGTGGCCCATTTTGACCTGGCATATGGAAGACTGTGATTTGAAATATGAGAGGATTAAATGAGCATGAAGTGACAAAGAAAAATAGATACGCATTTGTTTTATAAACTAAGAGGAAGGAAAATATAATAGATCTGAAGGAAAATGGTGCATACTGCTTGATGACATAATAGATGGGACGAAGATGAGAGATTCCAGAAAAGTAACTAGGCCATTTGGAAATCCAAGAACAAATGCCAAGTGGGGGCTACTTAGAAGAAGATCTCTTTAGGAGAAATATATATATTAGAATATTAGAATATTTATAAATATTCTAATGTATTTCCAACTTTTTGCAGCATGCCTGTGTGACTAAATGTAGGAGAAATTGTGGAATATCATGTACTTTAACACTTGAATTAAAATATGGTATATTATTGTTATTTTTCTTGCCACCTCTAGATATTTAGACAGTGTGACCAATAAGGACAGCACCTTGCCACCAATTCCTCATCTTCATTCACTATTGAGTGATGACATAGGGCCTTATCCTGAAGTAGATATATTTAGGCTCATCAGAACTTCCTATCAGGTAATTTCATGAACATATTGGTAATTAAACATGAGTAGGAAAATGATTTGTCAGATTCTACTCCTCTCCTCCGTAATCCTTTATCCTTCAAGATTGTTGGAATTTCATGGCTATTATCTAGTCTGGCTAGAACAGTGATGGCGAACCTTTTACAGACCGAGTGCCCAAACTGCAACCCAAAACCCACTTATGTATCGTCGGGTGCCGGGTGGGTGTAGCCAATTGGGTGGGTGTGGCCCATTGGGTGGACGTGGCTGCATTGGTAACAGCAGACTGGATGGGACTAAAAAGTTCAATCAATCAATTCCAACTTTGCGAGATCTTTTTTTTTCTGCGAGAAGTTGAAATTGATTGATTGAACCTTTTTTTTTTTTTTTGCACAAGGTGGTGGAGGCCTAAAGCGAAAAGGTTTTATAAAATCCAGCTGAAGGCCTAGGACTGGGGCGACAGCATGTGTGCCCACAGAGAGGGCTCTGCGTGCCACCTGTGGCACACGTGCCATAGATTTGCCACCACAGGGCTAGAAATTCTGAGATTTTTTCTCTATTTCCAACATATAAAGTTGGGAAAGCTGCACAACACAGGAAGAACAGGAATTATTTTTGAATTATATGTAAATAATCCAAAACCTTTTAGAGGTATTTCCTTACCTGAAGATATAAACAGAATGACCATGGGTGGGCAAAAAAGCAGTGGGTAGTGGAAATGGTTTCCAGTTTCCTATTTTTTCCCCCCATTTTTTTTTAGGCAGCTGGCAGGGAGTGTTGAAAATCATAATTTCCTTAGTTGTGTCAATGCTTCAGTAGCCACAACTTTGAAAATACAATTGCTGTAAAGATCCTTAAAATTTCAATTATGTGGGAATAATGCATCCAGATTTTACATGCATTCTTTAAGTTGGTAGATTTAAGATACTTTAATTCAAAAATTTGTGTGCTATGATGCATTGTTTGGGTTAATGGAAGGTTACAAACAGACAAACAAAAAGGAGAGTTTTAGTAGTATATAGATTCTGAATCCCCTTATCTGGATGAAATCACTGTTGAAATTAATAGCATGCATTCCTGACTATAGGATTGAATTGGCAGTGATTGCAGGGTTTATTTGTTTTTATTTATTTATAACCCACCATTATTATTTTAACAAAACATATCCAACATATCTTCCTTGTCCTGTTTTCCTCACAGCAACAGACCCATGAGTGGATTGGGCTGAGAGTGACTGTCCAAAGTCATCCAGTGGGCTTTCATGGTAAAACAGGACTCGAATTCAGAGCTTCCTGCTTTCTAGCCTGGTGCCTTAACCAGTACACCAAACTGGCTCTCTGACAACTGGCTTGTCCCAACTGATACATAAATAGAAGCGCAACAGCAATGAGGGTTTTCCATGAATGATGGAAAATGAATGGAAGTCCAGTTTCCATGACATTAAAAAGGCACAATAGCACAGAGGAGCATATACAGTATAAGGCTCTAATTATTTTCTGACTATATTTAGTATGGAATCTATGCATTGGTGGCTTTAAATGTGTGATAGATTTACATCAAAAAGTGAATTGTGAAGCTCGTCCTTCTTTCATATCTTATCCTTATGGAAGTCATACCCAGAACAATAGTAATAATATTGCAGTGTATATTTTTGTGGCTTTTTGTGCTCCCTTATTCACTCATTTAGAAGAAATAATAGAGGGTCCAAGAGATCTACTACCTAACCTGAACCTGTGGTAGAGATTTCTGCACCTGCAACATGTTGAAATACTGACCTCTTTTATCCTTGTTCCATTCTTTCTAGTTGAAGAAAAGGAGTAGAAAAAGTTGTGATCTCTGGGATATGCAGAGATGCTTTTAGGACTGAAATATTTAAAATATATTGAAATTCTGCCTAATTAATTTTTTCTTAGATATATGACCTTAGTACTGTCCTTTTTTAAAAAACATATTTTATTGTTTTTTTTAATTTTAACAAAAAGTACTTAAGACACACCATGGTGTTTGGGTAAACAAACATTTCAAGGTAAAAAACATACATAAACAGCTCAACTTAATACATTCACTATCATCTCTCTATTTCTCACAAATAATATAATAGATTTAATATATTCCATTTCTAGCTTAAATTTTGACTACTCAACCTGTTTTAAAGCTTTATCAATTTAAAATTACCATAATCAAATATTGTTTTACATCAACAAATTATCACTTCAAGTATCCCTACCAAGTATATTGAAGTTCTTAATCTCTCTCAGCCCTCTTCTTATCTTTTTTTTTAGTACTGTCCTTTTTATATGATGATTTTTCTGTCATGTCAGAATATGTATTTCAATCTGCTATTTTAAAAAAAAAAGATAAAACCCCTGATTTTACATTTAGTCATACCTTTAGTCATATCTTAGGTACTATATTTAGGCAACGTCTAAGTGAAATTGTTTTTTAGTGAATTTTGTTTCTTAAATTTTGTAGGAAGAATGACTGTTATTTTTTTTCTTTTAGAAATTTGGCACCATTAGAGCAGATCTGATTGAACAAATGAGATTCAAACAAAGGTTGAAGGTCATTCAAACCTTAGAAGATACTACCAAACGAAATGTGGTAAGTTCTTGGGAGTTTTGTTCTTTGAATTTAAATATTAAAGATAAGTACATGTGTTTAAAGTGTCTCCTTTTTATATTTTAAAGGTACGAACCATAGTAACTGAAACTTCATTTACAATAGATGAGCTGGAAGAACTCTATGCCCTTTTCAAGGTAACCTTCAAATAGCTGTCTTGTCTATGGTATTTATAGCAGATACCGCACTGCCTTTTTCTTACTAATTTCACTAAAATAATTTAAAGAGACCAAAATGTGCTACTGAGAAAATGTTTAATTTATAAAGCAGAACTTTTTCATCTCCCCTTAATGTACTGGGATATGGTATTTAAATTACACTTTAAAATGAGTGAAATGCTCATCAGGATAATAAATGTGACTATTGCTATGTAGACAATCTTTTTGTGATCATAATCAACAAAAAGGGACCCCAATTAATTGTTTTCACCCCGAAAAATTATCATAGCTGCATGCTTGCTGTAAAACCAGATTTGAAGTTACAGAGTAAATTGTACCCAGAATATTCACTGGGCTTGCAGAGTCAGCTTTCTTTTCAAACAAATATTGTAGTAAATCTCAAATAATAATATAAATATATCTGAGACATATGGCACTTTTCTCTGTCTGCTTAAAAAGGCAGATATAAATATAATCTATAAACAGAAACTCAAAATTTGTTGTTTACATGTATATACTAACCACTTCTGTAGGGTTTCTAGGCAACATCTTTGCAAAGCTATCTGGAGTCACTGAGAATGAGTTGGGTGGCCACATACATTTTCTTAAATAAATAAATAAACAAGCAAACATATAATGGACTTTCCTTCGGTGTGTTTTCATAGCAACATCCCTGTGAGATCAACTATATTAAGAGATAGTAAAGGTACAAAGTGATCCAGTGAGTTCCATACTTAGATATGGATTTGAACTTGGATCTTTCCATTCTAGACCAACATTTTAATACTAGGTAACTTGGGCTTCTAAATTATTCCTTGTCCCAGGTTTATGAAGTGACTAGGAGGCCACAGTTTTGGAACTCAATAACAGAAAGGCCTGTGACGATAGTAATATGTAGGTAGAAACGTTTCTGGATGGAGTTTGTTCTATTTCTGTGTTCTATATCAGACAGTATGAAAAACATTTTTATATTAAGATGTTTTTAAACTGCATAGACAGTGATAGATGTTGCTGAAATAACTACAGAGATTATAATAATTTCACATGCCTTATTATTCTTCTCAGGCAGAACATCTCACTAGCTGCTACTGGGGAGGCACCAGCAATGCCACTGACCGTCATGATCCAAGCTTGCCTTATTTGGAACAGTACCGCATAGATTTTGAGCAGTTCAAAGGGATGTTTACTCTTCTCTTTCCTTGGGCATGTGGAACTCATTCTGATGTTCTAGCTGCACGCTTGTTCAGATTGCTGGATGAAAATGGCGATTCCTTAATTAACTTCCGAGAATTTGTTTCTGGACTTAGTAAGAATGAAACTGCTTATCTAATGGCATTTGGCTCTCTTTATTATCACCATTAACTATAACATTATTGTCTTGGCCTGCAATCATTCATGAGACAGATTTGCATTATAAAAGGTTATGTGCGTATTTGTGTTTTTTGCCATTGTTTATAGCTAATTAATATCCTGTCCTTCAAATTCTCCTATTCGTAATCTATTAGTAGAAATACACCCCCCTTTCTGAGATCAGGTGATATATCTGAGTTAATCCCGATTGTTTTGGCTTTGACTGCGCAATTCATTTAAAATCATCACTGTTTACATGTGTACAGACAATCTCAAAATTTATTCTTCTTTATGAAGACAAGATTCAGTTAAAGAACAGAAAATATTGAAATTGACCTCAGATCCCAGAATTAATCTATATTTGAATTGGTCTAATATAGCAATGCTCTTTAACTGTTTTAAAGGGACAAGTAATCATCTGAACTTGCTTACAGTATATGCTGCCCAGTTGATCCAATGTATTTTATTTTTCTGTAAGATCAAAGGTTTACAGATAGGCCTATGTTATAGTGAGATAAAATGATGTTATTAGTTACTCCAGATAAGTAAGATACTACATCTTGCTTCATAATACAATTGTAGATTTTGACACTGAGCAACATCCATCTCCTTGCATTAAAATCTCATCAGGCAAGGAGAGAAAATCCATTTGGATTTTGCTGATCACTCTATTCTACCCAGATATGGTGGCAAAATACCACCATTCAATACTTACAGAAGGAGAGATAACGTCTGGTTAGTGTACAAAAGGATGGACAAAGCAATGTTGCCTGAAGCTGTACCTTTAAGTCTAGCTTTTGGCTGGGAATGGTAGTGTGTAAGGCCATGTCGTTTGAATGAGTAAGGCTGTAATTTACTGGGCTTCAAAGATTTTAAAAAGCTGTACTGAGTTTTGTACAAGGGTATTAAGTTTAACAGATTCAACTATCTAGAACAGTGGTTCTCAACCTGTGGGTCGGGACCCCATTGGGGTCGAACGACCATTTCATGGGGGTCGCCAAACAACGCAGTCCGCCATTTTTTTCCTCTTTTCCTTAGCTGTGCTACTCCCTTTTATTCTATTGGCTTTTGAAAGCCAATAGAATAGACTCTCTTGAATAGAGTCTAATTCTATTGGCTTTCAAAAGCCAATAGGAATTGTCCAGGCTGTCTCTGCCCTGCTGAGCCCGCCAAAAGTCCCATTCTGCAAACGGTGCTGCACCAGTTGAGTAGTCCTCGACTTACAACCGGTTGGGGGTCGCGGCATTAAAAAAGTTGAGAACCACTGATCTAGAAGCAAGTATCAGTGATATTAACTATTTCAGAAGAGCATATTTTATGTTAAATTGATGACACTTAATAGATGAATATATTTAGGATTACTACAACAACTCAATTGCTTCTAGGTGCAGCATGTCATGGCGATCTTACTGAGAAACTGAAACTACTTTATAAAATGCATGTTTTGCCAGGTATGTAAGCATGGGATAATTTGTAGATAATACCTTTCATGTGAAATCCTATACCATTTTAGGTGATGATAAGAGGGGCTGCAGGGATTGCCATTGCTAAGCGATGCAGTCCAGTGATATCATGCTTTATGACCACATCATTTAGTGATAGAAATTCTGGTCCCAACTGCCGTCGTAACTGGAGTACTACCTGTGTAGTATTCCAGCTATAAACGATAGATATGGGGGGGTGTTTGTGTAAAATATGAAAATTGTTGATGATTTCTTATACTTGTTTGTACAGATCCATCTTCTGATCCAGAAGAGCCAGATTCAGCATTTGAAGCAACTCAGTACTTCTTTGAAGACATTACACCAGAGTGTACACAGGGTAGAAAGATGTGTTAGTTTTCACGTTCCTGACTAAAGCATATTGATAATTTTGTAAAATCTCTCCCTTATCTTCAAAAGAAAAAACAGCTTGTCTAGAGTGAGGAGAACAATTGTTTATCAAGATGTCTTTTAAATGTTGCATTTTCAGAGTCTTACAACTACAGATTCAGTAAGCAAATTTGTGAATTCCACGTACAAATAGATGGCTTACCAACAAATATTAGAATATTTGTTTCTAAACCTGTAGCTCATGATAGATCTAAAGACTGGTTTCACAAATTGGATCAATATATTTTGTATGTATTCATTCGCATCTCACCTTTATGGTTTTTTACAAATAACTCAAGGCAACAAACATACCCAGCACACCTTGCTCCTCCTATTTTCCCCACAACAATCCTGTGAAGTGGGTTGGGCTGAGAGAGAGTGGCCCAAGGTCACCCAGCTGGCTATCATGGCTTAAGGCAGGACTTGAACTCACAGTCTCCTGCTTTCTAGCTTAGTGCCTTAACCACTAGACCAAACTGGCTCTTGTCAAGAGATTTTTATTGAGAGGATAATGGTAAATTAAAATAATGTTCATGTCAAGATCAGTATTCCATATAATCATTTGGTAGTTTAAATATCAATCATGTTTAATAAAATGGTATATAAACATAGATAAATATGAACATAAATATACAAAAACAAACACTCTTCCCTACTAATGTAGAGTATTTTCCCAAATTGCTGAAAATACAGTTTATAGAGAACTAGTGAATGAATTAAGGTAGAGGAAGAATGTGAAACTGGAAATATTAATCATAACTATTCAATAGTGGGAGATACTACCGTAAATGCAGCTCCATATTCTGCAAATGATACAGTAAAGTTCAATAGCCTTATTGTTTGTTACAAACTAGTGATGGCTTTGGGGCAGCGATCAATAAAAATAGGTTCTTTCTTTTTAGTATCTAATTCTAGTACAGAGTTGTAGTTGATACCTTCTACCAAAGATTTTTCTTATTTCAGATTTTTTATTAGAATTCTTCCACAAAACAGGGAAGTCAGTTCTTGAAAACACAGTATTTTGTCTTGGAAAACCTCCCAGGGTATAAGCTTTCCTAGTTTGCTTTCCTTGGCACAGATCAACTTGGTTGATCTTGAGAAAGCAAACCAGGCTCAGACCTGATTAATATTTGGACCACCAAGAATCCCCAGGCTTTAGAGTATTTTGGGTGATTGAAAAGCATTGAAAAGGATGCAATGATCAATTACATTGCTGTAAACAACAATAGCAAACAAAAAGGTCATGTAGTCATCAGGAATTGAGTTTTACTTAAGAGAATCTTGAGTGTAAATTAGGCTACTGTACCATTGCATTTTGAAAAAAGAGCACTTATTATATATTTATTTTTTTATTAGTTGTTGCTGTAGAAGGAAGGAACAAACATGGAGTTGAAGAGGGATTTGTTAATGTGAGTTTGAAAACAGAAAAAGGTATGCTGTTCATTATCTTTACCAACAGCATCATGACTATTAGGGGAATTGTATTTGGAACATAATCAGATAAACATTTCTTCACTGTGTTTCGGATAATTGATTGTAATAGGAAAGAAGAATTCTCAAGAAAATAAAAACTGCCTTAAAATCTGGAGTCAAGAGAATAAATCCAAAGCCAGAAATGCAAAGGACTTGCCTAAACTAAATCAGGTAAGTGTTCTTCTAAACTTAATAAAAGTTATACTTTTGAAAAATGCAGAGTTAGCATATGCACGATACTAAAAGTGCATGATGAGTATTTCATGTCAGTAAAGCATATACATAGCTTAACCTTGAGATGGGATTAAAGTTTGAAAGATTTAGTTCCGATTGCAGAAATCCAAATTAAAAGGGGGAAGCAGGACAGTGGGCTCCCTTTATATTCTTCTCATGCTCTATATTAAAGGTGAGCAGCCTGTAATCGATGGAGCTTCACTTTTTCATTTTGCCCTGCCTGGAAACCTCATATAAGAATGGATGGAACTAAAGATTTAGGGCATTTGGGGGCTTTATGGGAGGGGGGGCTTGTTTTGAAATTTCAGGTGTCAGATTTGTGTCTGTTTATTCTTTTTCATAGAGACTATCCAGTGGGTTATTTCTAATAATTGCCTTTATAATTCTGCCTGTAGTTATGCATGGATATATGTATGTATGTGTATATATACTATGTATATGTGTGTATGTGTGTGTGTACATATATTAAAATCTACATATTTCACTTTTAAATTAGATAAAAAAAATTGGTCCGACACTTGCTCTCAGGGGGCTTTTAATGGGAGGGATGCAACAAAGCAAATGATTCTAAAAGATGCTATCCCTGGGAAAACTGGACTTACTATTCCTTTTCCTTGTATATCTTTTACATCTTTATTAAAGATGAAAGGTTCTATGAGAATTTGGATGTGTTGTATTCCTATCATGTGCCCAGGAATAGTGTGCTTGAATTGGATTGCATGCTAGATACTGCTAAAAATCTTTTTTAAACTACTTATTGTGCAAGATTGCATTGGTTATTGTTAATTAAATATTACCTAGAAACAAGCATTCATCAAAAGCACACATGTGTATGTGTAAAAAAATAATCTCTTACAGACATAATATGTTTTCACTATGGAGGTATTTCTCTTGGGCCCCAGCAAATAGTCTGGGAACACTTGATAATGTCATTATTGAAACTAGACAAGTGTTGTCTAATTAGTCTGTTGGAGGAAAAACAGCTAAGAGCCCCATCTAACCATTGGATTTGAACAGGATGAACAGCAACAAAGCATTATATTTATCTTTTACATCTAGGAGCAATTTATCGAACTATGTAAGACCATGTATAATATGTTCAGTGAAGACCCCAATGAGCAGGATCTTTATCATGCAACTGCAGCTGTGACAAGTTTGCTTCTAGAGATTGGCGAAGTTGGTAAGCTATTTAGTGTCCAATCGATTAACGACGTTGAGAATAGCAGTAAGACCATTCCAAATGTGCTGATTCAGAAGAAAGGGAGCCAGCAGTACCGTCTTGACCAACACGATCATTTTCAAAATGGTTTTCTTGATGAAGAGGAGAATATTTGTGGTGACAGTTCACAGATGGAGGATGTTAAACTGGAAGATTCTTCTCCTAGGGATAATGGAGCTGGTTCTTCCATGTTGATTTCTGATGATGATACTAAAGATGACAGCTCCATGTCTTCGTATTCTGTCCTGAGCACAGGTTCTCATGAGGAGGAAAAGCTGCACTGTGAAGACATCAGTGAAGACACTGTTTTGGTACGAAACAGCAACCCAGCTTCTTTGCCAAGAAGGAATAGTAGTATTGACAGAGACTGGGCTATCACCTTTGAGCAGTTTTTGGCTTCCCTGTTGACTGAACCAGCACTTGTGCGGTACTTTGATAAACCAGTGTGTATGATGGCAAGAATTACTAATGCTAAGAATGTGCGAATGATGGGAAAACCCATAATATCAGCAAGTGATTATGAAATCTCTGCTATGTCAGGCTAAATCAGACATGTCAAACCCACGACATCATGTGATGTCGTGCAACGTATCAGGATGGTTTTGCCATTACCGGCAATGGGGTGGGCGCGGCTTCCGGATGATGCCTCCACCCCGCAGGCCGGCAGTTTGACACACCTGGGCTAAATGGACTGGATAAGTAGAGTTTTTTAAAATTCTTTTAGGTTTTTGAAATATTTATTATAGCCTACACAGGTCCTGGTGTTCACAAAATTTATTAGTAATTGTTTATGTAAACATATTAGGATGTACAGTACATCTATTTTATTTTGAATTATTATTATTTTTTTGTATAATGGGAAATATCATTAAAATGCTCGTCTGAGTCAGTTGAAGGGAAATCATTGTCATTGGTATATGTATTGTTAGTCTTGCTATCCCTGGATAAATAGTGAAAATTTGTTCAGTTCTAATTTAATGAACACTATATGTGTATGTTTGATAGACAGATCTGAAATGTCTTAATAAGGAAGGAACCTTAATAATTTAGAATAGTGCAAATACAGAATATGCTGCAGTGTATTTGTAGAGTTCCTTTATAACATTTTCTTTATAATTTGGCAGAAGTAGCACTCTATTAGTATAGCTTTTGTGCATACAGAGCTGCTTCTCTCTCAACTAATTAAGGGGAAATTGGACAGGAACTCCGTTTCTGCACTGCAGCTGTTGTGCCTGTACAAAAATAGATTCAGAAAAAAATAGAAAGAGATGCTGTCAACTTGAAAAGTAAACTCTGCAGCATACGTGATTAGGTGTCTCTTGAAATATTTTTTTTAAGAAGTCTTGTTATTTTTTAATACTTTTTAAAACATTCTTCGGGGATACTGCCAGGAACCTTTCTTGATACCTGTCAACATCCTGACCTAAACAGGTAATGGTACCCCTTTTTAAAAAAATGAGACTTTTTAAAAATTCTGTAGATAATTCTGTTTTATTGATACTTTAATCCTAAACATCATAAACTTAGTGTACTGTAGATGACAAATTCATAACCGAATTGCATAATCCTTCATTAAAAGTTATTAGCAAGAATGTAACCTGTAAAATAGCTGCAAGAAAATGTAATCAAATGTTTGACAATTTCAATGAATGAAACCGTCACTTTATTTATAATTAACAGAATGTGTTGAATGATAAATGGAGCACCTGCACTTTGAATTCTTGCTTACTTTTCAGAACCATTAGTTGGGCACAACCCAGTACTAGAGAACATGCAGTACAAAAAACACATACCCAAGTAATGACTGAATGCCAATAGAAATGTGTTCTGCTCTTTGCAACCTGTCTGTTTAAGCAGGAGAAGAAATAATGCTTTAAGTAATCCTACACAAATAATCTCAATATGGGCCCAGTACCCTTGTAAGGACAGGATTGTGTCTAGTTTTTTTACACATTCATAGGTGATTGAATATGAGTAATTTTTATCTGCTTTAACTTTGTTCACTGTCTTCAAAACTCATTTTTTTTCTTTTTATGTATTATATATTATTGTAATTATCCTTTTTAAAATTAAAATATTGATTTGATTCTTATTTAGAGTACTTAACTGTCTGCAGTGTTTTTTTTCAGCAAGGAACCCTGAATGTTAAATTACAATTCTTCTAATCTATTTTCAACAGAATTTTATGTTAGAAATTTAAATTTGCCACTGGAGAGTGACAGCCTCCACGGCAGATAATATGGGGGAAAATGGGGGGAAAGCCCGGGATGCATCACTGGATGATACTGCACAAATACTAAGTCTGCATATATTCTTATAAGATCCACTATACAAACATGTAGTTATCTTCCAAGAATATTCTATTGAGAATTTTTTAAAAAGGAGTTCTAATACATAGCTATGTTTAGGTGTTTTTAGTGAGCATATAGCTTTAGCAGAAAGGCTATAATAAGAAAAGACCAACAGAAAAAAATAGCTTATTGAATTATTAGTTATTGATTAATTGATTTCAACTACTAAGAGCTGAAACAATTTTAATTTATAGATACCCACCATTGCATAATATTTATAGCCTGGGATAAACTTAGTGTTTGAATCATAAAGTGACCCCAAGGATCATTTAATCCAACCCTCTATATTATGCAGGAAAAAATAAGTAAATTATCATTAAAATAAAGCTGTCCAGCTTTTTCTTAAACACCTCCATAGGTAGACTGTTCCATTGCTGTATACATCTTACCATCAAGAAATCTTTCCTTATATATTTATAAATTATGCAATTTTTATCCATTATTTCTGGTCCTAGTTTCTGTGGCAGTGGCAAATAGTTCCTGTTTTTCTTATCTCTTTAATACACCTGAATACAGATATTATGTCTCTCATGGCTCATGCTCAGCTTCTTATCAGTGAATACAAGTCCTTCTCCAATTTAGTGCTTCTGTGCCATTTTTCTTTGTGTATGTGCACCTTGCTTTTTTCCTCTAAATGTAATAACTTACATTTGTTCCCATGGAACAGCATCATGTTCCATTCAACCCAATCTTCCAATCTAGACAGATTAGATTGCAATCTGGTTCTGTTATGCCGTGTGTTAACCAATTTTGTTTATTTTTTCTAATGTTGAACCCAAAAACATAGGAAAATAACATAAATAGGTCTATCCCAAGCAGGAAATTATACGTATTATAATTATTTTGCAGATATTATTGTGTTCCAGTTTCATTTTTGGTCTGGTAAAGAAATATTAATTTAATCCATGCTAATCCAGCTGCTTGGTAGTATAGAACCCAGTCTGGTAGCCCAAATTCTCTGTTTTCTTTTGCTTCTTGCAGTAATTTCAGTCTTATTCTGGCTTTGCCAGATGAATTTCAGAATCAGTGCATTTAACTCATAAAAAAAATTCTCTAATTTTGTAGGTATTGTTTGGAATAGCAAAAGTAGTTTTGGTAAAATATTCATTTTCACCATCGCTATTCTTCCCAGGATTGATAATTGTAATTTTTTCCATCTTTCCAAATCTAATTTTATTTGTTTTAATAGTTTAAGATAATTATCTTCTTTTAATGTTGACACCTTGCTGTTAACTTTCTTACTATCTGGAGATCTGTTCTTTCTGACAGTTGACTTTTTGTCTATCTGTAAGATTTTTAACTATCACTTTAGTTTTATCTCTGTTTATTTTCAGTCCTGCTATTTCTACAAATTCTTCAATCTTTATCAATAATTTAGGGCTTGTCTTCAAGGGATCTTTTAAAATAAATACCAGATCGTCCGCGAATACTTGTAATTTATATTTTTCATCTTTTAGCTCCATACCTTTAATTTTTGGATCCTGTCTAACATTTCTATTCAGCACTTCCTGAGTTAAAATAAATAATAATGAAAATAGTGGACACCCTTGTCTTGTGCCTTTTTTAATATTAAAATTCTCTGTAAAGTCTCCATTTACAATTACTTTGGCCGTTTGTCTATAGTAAATTGTTTTAATTATATTTATAAAATTTTCTCCAAAGTCCATATAGCTTAATTGTTGTATTATAAATTGCCAGTTGACATTATCAAAAGCTTTCTGCACACCTAAAAAAATAATGCTATTTGTTTCCCTGGATGCATTTTGTAATATTCCAAGTATCTAAGATCATTCTTAAATTATTCTTTATTTGTCTCTTTGGTAAAAATCCATTTTGATCTGGATGTATGAATTCAATCAAAAATCTCTTCAGTCTTTCTGCTATTATTGAAGCAAAAATTTTGTAATCTGCATTTAATAAAGATATTGGTTTATAATTCTTTATCTGACTCAAATCTGAATCTTTTTTTGGTATTAAAGTGATATTGGCTTTTATCCATGTATTTGGTAGTTTGGTCTCCACTAAAACTTCATTACATATTTCTTGCATTAGTGGGCTTAGTGTATTTTGTAGGCCTTTGTAAAATTCTGCAGGAAGCCCATTTGGGCTTGGTGTCTTGTCATATTTTTTTTTGTCTTTTTATAGCTTCTGTCAGCTCCATCATTGTTATTTTCTCATTTAACATGTTTTTGAAGTTCTCTGGAAATTTTGGTAAATTAGCATTTTCTATATATTGCCTTATTTTTTCTTGAGTACCGTATATGCCGGAGTATTAGGCGACCCGGTGTATAAGACGACTCCCGTCTTTATCGCCAAGCCGCATTCCTAGAACGTCGTCTTATATGCCGGAAACTACCAGTATTTCCGGTGTATAAGATGACTCGGCGTATAAGATGACCCCCGTCATTGGCGCTGAGTTTAGCGCTTCTGGAAGTCATCTTATATGCCGGCATATACGGTAATTTCTTCTTTATCATAAATTCTTTAATTAATTTTTTTATTATATCATTTTGGTATTGTAAATCACCTCTCACATCTTGCAATTTATTTATCTGTTTTTTCTCTTTCTTTTTTCAATTTATAGGCTAACCATCTGCCCAGCTTATTAGCATTTTCAAAATGTTTTGTTTTGCTCTTTTGATTTGTTGGGCCATTTCTTCAGCTTCTATTAAGTTTAATTTGTGTTTTATTGTCTCCATTTGTTTTTTAAGCGTCTTCTTTTGTGGGTCTCTTCGTAATTCTAATTCTAATTTTGTTAATTCTTCCTTTAGCTTCATTTGTTCTTGTTTTTTTTTCGCCATGTAGGTTATGGCTCTAAAATAAGCTTTGTATCCCAAACGTTTTGGAGTGATGTATCTATCTTCTTTCTTATTTTCTTTAAAGAAAAATTTCATTTCCTTTGCTACTTTTTGTATAAATTTTTTCTCTTTCAGTAAAGATTGATTCAATGTCCATCTTAGTTTTTTCTTTGTTTATTTATTTATTTATTTATTTTATTTATTTATGAGACTTATATACCACTTTAAGTGTGAGCACTCTCTTAGCGGTGTACACCAGTAAGCAACGTATATATATATTTACATTGCCCCCAACAATCTGGGTCCTCATTTTACCTACCCCGGAAGGATGGAAGGCTGAGTCAACCTTGAGCCGGTGAGATTTGAACCGCTGACCTGCTGAACACAGTCAGCTAAAGTGGCCTGCAGTACTGCACCCTAACTGCTGCGCCACCTCGGCTCTTTGTTCTTCTCCATGTTATCTTTATCAGATTGTGATCCGCCCATACATTAGTTTCTGTCTCAATCTCTTGTATGTTCATTCTTAGTTCAGCAGATATCCATATCATATCGATTCTAGACCATGATTTAGGCCTATTTGAGTAAAATGTGTATTGAGATTTCTTTGGGTTTTTCTCTCTCCACATATCCTGTATACAAATTTCTTCTGTCATTTTAAAAAAAGCTTGTGGTAGAATGTTCCTACCTTTTTTCGCTATTATACTGCTTCTATAATCTAGCTTTCCATCTACAACTGTATTAAAGTCTCCTACTAAGCAAATATTTTGATATTCCATTTCTACTATTTTGTTATGTAGTTTTTGATAAAATTCTTCTTGTTTGTTATTTGGTGCATAAATTGCTACCATCAATGTCTGTTTTTGATTTAACATTATCTCCACCATTAATATTCTTTCTTCTTCATCTCATAAATTTGTTTTGGGTTCATTGTTTCTTTAATATATAAAGCTACTCCTCTTTTCTTTTGTTGTGCTGATGAAAAGAAGAGCTCCCCAATTTTCGGACAGTCCAGAAATTTATAATATTGTCTTTTAATATGTGTTTCTTGAAGACAAACTATATCCATTTTTAGCTTTTGTAGTTGTATAATTTTTCCCCCTTTTACGGGAGAGTTCAATCCATTTATATTCATTGAAAGAATCCCATTATCCTTCTCCATCTTCTTCAGTTATATTTAGTTTTTATTCTTCTAGTTGTTCTTATCAGTCTCTGTTCTTTTCCCTTTACCCCTTCTTCTTGATTTATGTTTTCTATGTTTTCTGATTAAATTCCAAACTTCCTTCTTCAAGAAAACCCCGTGTCTCTCATTAAATTCCATTGCTTTAAAGACAGAGTCCAATCTGTGTCTTTTGGAGTCCCAATTGAATACGAAACCGTCTGGCATCAGCAATCTAAAATTCACTCCTTTTTGATTAGTTTTTTGGTCAAGAACTGATGTCTCTTCGTGAGTCCCTTTCTAGGTATCTGCTTAAAGACTACAATTTCTTTTCCCTTGTATTGCAGTGGGTCATCTCTGACTCTTCTCAATACCTCATCTCTTACTGATTTTTTTGACAAATCTACCGTGTACCTCTTTAGACACTTTGTTTCTTCTTGCATAGCTTGAATTGACTCTAAATGTTTGATCAATCTCTCCTTCCATTTCCTGTTTTCTAGTTTCCAGCACTCCAGCTAGTAGTTCTGTCATCAAGTCCGCAAGATTTTCTTCCTTATCTTCCATTATGTTCTGAAATCTTAAAAAGTGAAATGCCTTTTCCATTTCCAAAACTGCTATTGAGTATTAACCCTTTGCTCATTCTTTGTAATCTTTTGTTGAAAGTTTTCTAATTGAGATTTCAAGTCATGATTTCTTCCTTCATTTTATCAAAGTTATCTTTCATCTCTTCATGATTCCTCTTCATGTCTTCTTTGTGTGAAGTACTAGCCTCCTGGATTGCTTCTAATGTAATTTG